CGCCCGCCGCCGCTCCCGCGCCCGCCGCCGCCGCGCCAGGCCCCGCAGTACCACGTGCCCGGCCCTCCACCTCGGCCATGAGCGTGGGGTCCAGGTACTGCGCGCCCAGCTCGCGCGCGTGCCGTGCCAGCAGCAGGCCCAGGATGGTCTCGCGCTGCGCGCGCTGCGGCAGGCGCACCTCGTACTGCAGCGAGAAGCGGCGCAGCACCGCGTCGTCCAGGTCGTCGCGCTTGTTGGTGGCGCCCAGGACGACGATGTTGGAGTCCGACGCCGACTCAAACCCGTCCCAGAGTTGCATGAACTCGGTCTTCATGGCCGTGGTGGCCTCGTGCTCCACCGCGCGGCGGTGGCCCAGCAGCGAGTCCACCTCGTCGATGAACAGGATGGTGGGCGCGATCTTGGCCGCCAGCGACCATACCGCCGCGATGAGCTTGTTGGTGTCGCCGTACCACTTGGACAGCAGCGTGCTGGCCTTGAGGTTGATGAAGCAGGCGTTGCACTCCGACGCAAGCGCCTTGGCCAGCATCGTCTTGCCCGTGCCGGGGGGGCCGTAGAGCAGGACCCCGCGCTTCTGGCGCAGCAGGCTGGTGCGGAACAGCTCCGGCCGGCGCATGGGCGTGATGACGTTGCGTTGCTGTGTGTGTGAGAGAAAGGGGGGGGAAGATTCGAGTTTCAGCTAGGATATAAAGGTTTGTGAGGAACGGGGGGGGTGGTCCAAAGGGAAGCAGGGCCAAGGGCGGATCGGCTTTGGCCTCCAGGAGAGCCGGGGGTGGGGGTGATGCATTCTGCTAGGAGAACGCGGTGTATGGCAGATCCAGGGCCTTGGCAGCAGCAACATGTGATGAGAAGCTTTACAGCTCTACTGTAGAATGTGAGATCTCAGCAGGCACAGCTCCCATCCTAGTACCAAGACTTGGCACACCCACCAGGTCCTCAATGATGTGGTCCAGGCCACCCACATCCTGCAGGGTGATGTTGATGTGAGCCGGGTTGACCACCTCCTGGGCGATCACCTGGCGGATTTTGTGCGTGGGAGGGGGAAGGGGAACAGGGCTGAGCCGCGCAGTGGGACCATGTTGGGACGGAGGCAGGGGCGGCACACAAATACTGTAAGGAGCGAGGGGACCAGACCATCTGGCACACGCAGTCCATAACAGAGCCCATGTGAAGGTGCCAGGCAATTCTACATCACGCTCTCCAGCAGTGGTGCACCACGATGCTTGGCGCGCTCGTGGCTGTCTCTCCTGTCCACCAATGGCCCCAGCAAGAGTCCAACCGCAGACACACCCGTTTACTCACATCCTCGTACTGCCCATCGGTGTTTACCGGGCGACCCAGGCGCTTGGACAACGCCTTCTTCCGCTGTTTTGCCTGTTTGGACCAGGTGCAGAGGGGGTGGCCGTGAGAGTACCGTTCGGCTGCTGCAGGGTCGAGACGCTGGCTGGCCGAAATCCAGCGTGCAGAAGCAAGTCCCAGCTCGTGCTCCCAGACCCACCACCAGGCCCAGGGCCCGGCATCGGCGCTGCAATCAAAGATCGTATGCGCAGGTGGGACACTTCACTGCCGCCTGGTGCCATGGGCAGTCCCCACCTCCCCAGCCCAGTGCCCGCCTCACCGTCTCGACATTCTTCTTGGTGGGGTCCATTTGTTTGAGCGCCCAGCGTAGGATCAGCCAGGACCCCAACAGGCTCAATCCCAGGTACGACACCTGGCGGGCACGAGTTTGGCATGCATCACGCGCCGGGCATTGGGCCTGCAGGGCGGGCGTAGTGTACAGGCCGAGCCATCCCCCGCACCACACCGGCAGTCGCTCAATCCTGGAGTGAGGGCCCCCGTGACCCCACCTCAAATATGGTAGACTTGTTATTTCTGCTCGTGTTCTGCGCCATCTTCACAGCTGCAGAGCCCAGCTTCTGCAGAGTCTCCCCCAGCCACACCATGGGCGGCGACCACTCCTCGCCTGGTCAGGCCGCACGGCGCAGTGGGCCCCGATGAGCAAGCCTAATGTTCTCTTTGCGGGTCAAAACGTAGCACTGGTAGCCCGGTTGCGTCCCGAGCCCCACAATGAGGTTGCGGGGAGGGTCCCTCCCGGCCTTGATCGCTGCTCGGTCATTATCCCGCGCGTTCAGTCCGACGGGGATGCAGGAGGGTGGTGGGTTCAAATAACCCAACTCCCCCCTGCCCAGAAACTCTTCGTAATGGACGCAGTCCACATGACTCTTGCTGCAGCATGCCAATATGTAGGATTGCAGACCACCTTCTTTCTAGTACAATCGATTGTGTGTGTATGAACAGCAACAGGATTGGGCCCAAGTCCCACAGGACCCCCCTGTCAGATCCACCACAACCAGCAGGAATGTAGCGGTCACAACACTTCTGCCACTGATCAGGCACCTGAGAGCCCCAGCGCCTCGGTGACCTTCTGGTTGAGCTGGTCGCACACGGTCTTGGCATCCCCCAGAAGCATCTGGGACAGGTGGGTGAGCGAGACAGGTGGGTGTCGGCAGAGCATGGCGTATTCAACCTCCAAGGCCAGACACACAGCGAATGCCATCCAAGCCTTTTAGCCTTTCTGCAGACCCCACCTGGGTGTTGGGCTTGTAGAAAACGGGGTTGTCGGCGCCGGCATAGCCTGGCGGAGCGGGGATCGAGTGAGGTACCTGAGACTTTGCCTGTGATGGTGCAGGGATCCGAGAGAACTCGCCATCGTCGCCTCCTGTCACACTCTCAAACCACCAAAAGGCCTTGACCCACCTGTGCCCATGGTACGCTTGAGCACGATGACCTGCTTGGCCTTCCAGACCTCCACGACCGGCATGCCTGGGTGGGTGGATAGGTCTTGGTGTGCTCATGCCCTTGTACTTGGTACATGCTCAGGCAGCAGGGCCGAGTGCAGGCAGACGCCCATGCGATAACACCCTGATCGGGACCAGACCTTCTAGCCGTAGCATGCACATGCCCTCACCTGCAATGACAGAGTTGGGGTCCTCGATGGCGGCCGAGTTGATGGTGTCGTTGGCCCCGATGACCAGCGCCACGTCAAAGTCCTCCATGTGAGGGTTGACCTCGTCCATCTGTAGGGTGTCGTGCAGAGGCATGATACACGGGCGAGGCAAGGGACAGGAGCGACCAAATCTTGCAGAGCGTCCGCAAGCTTTGGAATGGGCGCCAGACGGCCAGTGGATGCCCCATACAACCCCAGACGCCGCAGCAGCCATGCCAGCCTCCTCCCGACTTGCACACCCAAGGACTCCCCCCCCCCCCAAACACACACTGACAGCTCCTTTCTCCGGCCCCGCCCACCTCCTCCACAATGTCGTAGGGCACTCCAGCTTCGGCCAGGAGCACATTGAGCTGGCCCGGCATGCGCCCGGCCACCGGGTGGATTCCAAACCTGAGATGTAGGGGGAAAGAGGGCGTTCTGTGCGTCTGCGGCTGGGATGAGAGGGTCGCAGCGGTGCAGAGCCATGCTTGTGTCCAGGCCATCCGCTGGGAAGAGCTGGACTGGTGTAGGGGATCGGATTTGCTCCACTGGCGAGATGCGGGTCGGCAGATCGACTTTCCATGGCACAAGGCGGCTGCCTGAGTACCCAGAATGCAGCCTCGACGAGAGCAATTCCGGGCACGCCCGACACGCCAAGATCCCTCCTTCTCTCTGCTTCCCACCAAGACCCGGCACATCGTACCTCTAAAAGCCCTTCAAGCACCATCCCCCTTTCGCCCCCCGATCCCCCGTCAACCCCCCCTCAACCCCACCGACCCACTTGACGGCGATGTTCTTGGAGCGCAGGCGCTTGACCAGGTCGGCGATGGCGTACTGCGCTCCCGCCACAGCCAGGCCATACCCCGGCACAATCAGCACGCTGCGCGCTGACGTCAGCACCTCGGCAGCACCGTGCGCGTCCACCTCGGCGTGCGTCCCACCCACCTCGGCGGCGGGCCCGGCCGCGGCGGTGGCGTACCCGCCCAGGATGACGTTGGCCAGGGAGCGATTCATGGCGCGGCACATGATGTAGGACAGGATGGCGCCGGAGGAGCCGATGAGCGCGCCGACGGTGGTGAGCAGGTCGTTGCCCAGCATGAAGCCCTCGGCGCAGAGCGCGTAGCCGGAGTAGGAGTTGAGCAGTGTGATGACGACGGGCATGTCGGCGCCGCCAATGGAGGCGGTCATGTGCGCGCCCAGGCCGCCGGCCAGGGCGGTGGTGGCGCCCAGGGCGGCCAGCGCCACGCCCGGGTCGCCTGTGGTCAGGAAGGCGGCGCCGGCCGCGGCGTTGCCGGCCAGCAGGCCCAGGTTGAGCGCGTTCTTGCCCGGCAGCGCCAGCGGCTTGGAGGGCAGGACGCCGTGCAGTTTGCCAAAGGCGACGGCGGAGCCGGTGAGGGTCACCGCGCCGATGAAGGTGCCAAAGTAGGTGCTGGCAGCGTGCACGGCGTCCAAGTGGGCCGGGTCGGCGGCCATGTAGCTGGCGATGGAGGTGGTCACCGCGGCCAGGCCCACCAGGGAGTGGAAGCCGGCCACCATCTGGGGCAGGGAGGTGATGGCCATGCGGCGGGCGACCAGCGCGCCCGCGCCCGCGCCGACGCCCAGCGCGCCGACGATCTGGACGGGGAGCAGCGCGTCGGACCCCGGGGTGGCCACCACGGCGCCCAGCGTCGCAGCCAGGCCCAGGCCCACGCCCGTGGCGCCCAGCACGTTGCCCAGGCGGGCGGTGCGCTGGGAGGCCAGCGCGCCGATGGAGGCGATGCACAACCCCGAGGCCGCCAGGTAGGCGGCGGGGGTGGCCTCGGCGTACCCCGCCGCCGCGCCGGCCGCGTAGGCCGCCAGCGCGCCTGCGCCGGCCAGGCCGTACAGGCCGGTGAACTCGGGCGGGTCGCCGGGCCTGCGGAACATGCCCAGCATGCGCTGGGTGATGGTGAACCCGCCGCCGATGTTGACCGCGGAGGCCAGCACGGCGGTGGCGGCCAGGCCGCCCGCCGCGCCGGCAGGGACCAGGCCGCCGGTGGCCACGGCCATGCCGCCCACCGCCGTGAGGCCAGAGATGGCGTTGGTGACGGACATGAGGGGGGAGTGCAGGGCGGGAGTCACGCCCCACACCGTCTGGTAGCCGCACACCGAGGCCAGGCCAAACTTGGTCAGCATGGAGGAGAAGGCGGGGGAGGGGGACAGCGCGCCCAGGCCGACCACCGCGCCCAGGCCCACCGCCGCGCCGGCGGCCGAGCGCAGCGTCGCCGTGCGGACGGCCTCGGGCGAGGCGGCCTGCTCGGCCGCGGCCTTCTCGGCCGCCGCCTTCTCCGCGGCCGCGGCGCCCGCACCGGCCGCGCCCGCGCGCGGCGCGACGGGCGGGGCCGGCCAGCGCAGCTCGCCGGCCTCCAGCACCAGGGCGCCGCGCACCGCTTCGTCGGCGTGGTCGATGCAGAACTGGCCCTTGTGGCCGGTGAAGGGGCCCATGGACAGCAGGAACTGCGGGGCAGCGTGTGTGCGTGCGTTTTGGTGGTGGTGACTCATGTGAGCGGGGTGGAGGGGGGTGCACAGGGGGGGTGGCATGTGATTGCGCTGGTCCCTGGACAGCCGTGTGCCGAGGTCAGACAGTCTCTGGGTGAGCCGGGCGGTGAGGCCAGGGCCCGCCCATGCATGAGACCGGGGCATGCCAGGGATCGTTGAGACCTGGGAAGTTCTCGCCCCCATACAGCGTAGGCGCCCGCCAGCGCATGGGTGAGGAGATGGCCCCGGGGGCTGGGCAGCATGCATCTCTGGCATTCACCCCAGGAATCCACAGCACGAAGCCAGCCTACACACATTGCACACCCCACACGCAAAGTCCCCTGTCCCCCCGCACCACCCCCACCTTGGAGATGTTGTTGGAGAAGAGGGTGGAGGACTGGGTGGGGAGGCGGGAGGGGAGGTCGGTGTACCCGATGCAGGTCACCCCCCCGGCCTGGACGACCTTGCCGGGGACGGTGGTCTCCACGTTGCCGCCCTGCTCAGCCGCCAGATCCACTGCGGGTGGGAGGGTTGACATGGGTTGGGGAAGGTATGCAGGGGAAGAATCGTGGGCTCTGGGGCATACAAAGGCAGTGAGGATTTAACCCCAGCTTGGATGAGATGGAGGAATCCAAGGGCGGTGGATGGCTGTGAGTGGGAGTGAAGAGGATACTTTTAGAAATCACGAAACAAAAGCCCTGGCCCAGCGCACCCGTGACGGAGCCGGGCTTCATGCTCTCCACCATGTGGTTCTTGATCAGCACGGGGGCGCGCTTCCCTGGGATGAGTGCGGTGGTGATGATGATGTCCACGTCCTTGGCCTGCTCCGCAAACAGCTTCATCTGCAGTGGGACGGGAGAGGATGGTCCTTCCGTGGAAGGGGAGAAGGCCGAGCAGGGACAAAGGCCAGGCAGGGCTTGGATGATTGAAGGAGGGTATTCGTCCAAGTTCAGACCCAACACGCCACGCGGTCTCTGGCCATGCCGTCACCACGAGCAACCTCCCGTCAAGTCGCAGCCTGTTGGCTGCCAGCTCCTTCCCGCAGAACCGGCCCTCAGCACCGCCCTGGTCCTTCCAACACACCAATCCCAACCCCCTCTCACCTCGGCCTCGATGAACTCCTTGGACATCTCCTTGGCGTAGCCGCCGCCACCCTCCCCGCTCTCCTCGATGTTCACGGTCAGGAACTCGGCGCCCAGGGACTTGGCCTGCGCATGAGTCATGATGACAAATGAGGAGGGAGTGGTGCAACTCGCCAGGGTGCGGGTGGTGGCTGGCCTCTGGGCTTACAGCGGGTGCACAGCAGCACGAATCCAAGATCCCTGTGCCCCAGATGAGCCCCCCCTGTCGGGCCCACAACCACGTGCACACCCTCCTCAGCAGGATGAAACGCCCGACCACCACGCACCTGCTCCGCCACGGCGGCGCGGGTGTCAAAGACGCGGACCACTGCCCCCATGTTCTTGGCGGTGCCGATGGCAGACAGCCCCGCCACGCCGCCGCCGATGACGAGCATCTTGGCGGGGGGAACACGCCCCGCAGCAGTGATCTGGCCCGTGAAGAAGCGGCCAAAGTGGTTTGCGGCCTCGATCACCGCCCTGCAAGGGGTCGGGGGGGTGAGTTTGTGCAAGGAGTCGAGGACGAGGGGAATGACGGGATTCGGCTAGGAAGCCAGGCTGCACGGACACCTCACCTCGCGCCATCCGCACCTGTATCCGGCGATGTTGGCCATGGAGGAGAGAGCGTCAAAGGTCTGCGCACGGCTGATTGTGCGTGGGATGCAGTCCATGGCTGCAGGGGGGGGGGTGATGGGCACTTTAGGCCTGGGATGAATATGCAATCTAGGCAACCAAAACCGGAAGGCAAGCAGGGCGACGCCCATCCAAACCCCACTTATCCGGCGCTGAAACTTTGCGCGACGTCGCCCAGACACCCTGCAGACCCAGGGGAGGGCAGGAACCCACACCAAGATACCACCAGCCGTACTCCCTCCGCACCGAGGGCAGACACGCGCTTCTGGGCCAGGGCATCCACCAGGCCCTTGTTCTGCGCGGGGTGCAGGAAGGAGATGAGGCGTGCCCCCTGCTGCAGCAGTGGCACCTCAGACGCCTCGTGCGGCGGCCTGATCTTGAGCACGATGTCCCTCCCAAATGCGTCGCCCGTGGAGCCCATGACGGCACCCGCCGCCTCGTAGTCGGCATCCTGTGGGAGAAGGGATTGGGCAGCAATGACATGGGTGGTGTGATGCTCCTGACCCAGAAGCGATAGACTCAGACTCAGAATGCACTCCCCCCTGTTCAAAGATCAGCAATAGTCCCCAGTCACCGACCCTGCACCGTTTCACTCACGGAGAAGTTGGCGGCAGCGCCTGCCCCAGACTCCACCAGGACTTCCTTGAAGCCTGCCTTCTTTAGGGCAGCCACCCCAGCCGGGGTGAGCGCCACACGGCGCTCACCCTCAAAGGACTCCTTGGGTACGCCTGCAGAGGAGCGAGGAGGTGGTGGGAACCGCTTGGCAATCTATATATGAGCCACAAGGCATGCAGGGCATTGGGTAGGGAGGGCAGTGCTTCACGTCGTAGTTTAGGCGTCCCGATGCGGCTCCACCCCAGATGGAGCTAGGGGAGTACTCATGCTGGGTATTTTCGCTGATGAGGACCAGGCACACGCATTACTCACCCACAGCCAGTTGGTCGTAGGGCACTCCCTGAGTCCCTGCTGCGGCAAACGACCGAGAGAGACGCGGGAAGGAGATCCCGGTGGAGGAGAGGGCCCCGGCGGGTGTCCAGGGATTGCCATCGAGGATGACCCGGGGGTTTGGGGGCCCACTGCCGCCTTCGAACGCACGCAGGGCGCAGTACACGCCCCTTGCGACAGGACCCCTCGCCGATGACCATCTCTGTAACACCAGCATTGGTCAATAAGCGCTCTGGGGCGCGGCGGGTCCACTAAGCAGGTCGACACCCCTGACGCGATCGTGGCCTGACGGCTGAACGCTTCCCTCCAGGAGGGCCCCTGTTGTATCGATTTGTATCGGATGCAAGTGCAATGGATCCGATCTTCGGATCGGTCCTGCCCTGCAGATCCTGAGCCCCCAGGCTGCGAATGTAGAGCGACCGTCCCAACTCTCGTGGATGAGGATTTTTGGGCGGACGATCAGAATTCCGAAAATAACACCCCCGCATCCACGTCAGCATGCTCAAACACCGCACTTGGTGCGGCACCACCCCCGACGAGCTTCTTTAAACCACCACCCAACCAGTCATGTCCACCGAAAACCAGGGCTCGCCGGCCCCCGGGCTGCCCTGCTGAGCTCCGCCCAGAACCCTGACCCGCCCCCCGCCTCGCACCTGTTGGCCTGCCTAGACTCGCCCCGGCACCCTCCCGCCTCCCCACCCCCCACCCTCGTCGCCATGGACCAAGGCAGCGTGGGAGTGGCAGACCTGCCGGCCGCGGCGGTGGAGCAGATCCTGCTCCTGCTCCCGCCGCACGACCGTGCGGCAGCGTCCGCCACCTGCCGCACCTGGCGCTCCATCGAAATCTCCTCCCGCCTGCTGTACGGCGACGTGACCCTGGACGGGCACTCCCTGGGCCCCGCGGACGGGGACGGCACGGCCCGGTCCCTGGGCTCCTGGCTGGCCGCCCGGCTGGAGGCCATCCAGCACTTCAAGCTCTGGACGCCCTACCCCCTGGACTCCCTGGCCGGGGGGGTGGTGGACCTGCTGGCCTCCGCCAACAAGCTGGCCAGCCTGCAGTACGTCTCCTCCGACCAGGGCCTGCCCGCCGCACTGGGCTCCCTGGCCAAACTGACCAGCCTGCGCGCGCTGCAGATACTGGTGCCCGGTGACGGCGGCGCCAGCCTGGCCCTGCGCGCGCGAGACATCTCCAAGCTGAAGCCGCTGCGCAACCTGCGCGCCATGCGCCTGAGCGTGGCCGAGATCCGGGGCGGGCTGCCCACACCGCTGCTCAAGGCCTGGTCCCGGCTGGAGTCGCTGCACATCACCTCCCGCTTCCGCATGGCCGGGGAGAGCCTGCGCCACCTCACCTCCCTGCGCCGCCTGGAGCTGGACGGCGTGACGCTGAGTCCGCCCGACGCCAGCGTGGCCCAGGGCCTCAAGCAGCTGACGCACCTGGCGCTGACGCCGGCGCGCGAGGACGCCGCGCGCTGGCAGGAGCTGGAGCTCTGGCCCGCGCTGCAGCGCTTGCCCAGCCTGGCCAGCCTGCACGCCACCGTGGACCTCCTGTCTTTGATGGGGGAGGACGGCACGCTGGGCGGCGACGCCGTCGAGGGCGGCGTCCCAGAGGGCATCCTGGCTTGCGGGTGAAGGCCCGAGTGGAGGTTCTTTTGTTGGGGGTGGGTGGGGGACGGGACGGGGGGG